GGGGTTATTACATACTCGAGTTGATCAAAAACAGCTCTCTAAGAACTTTTGTTATGCAAATCTTACAATTTTCTAACAAATTAGGCTGTAGAAATGCTACAAAACTGAGGCTTGTTCTACAAAAATTGGAAAACAAGAGCTAATTATAAACTCTCGTTTTTTACAGAGTGCAATAACGGACACTCTTTAGAGCTAGTGTTTTTGCTAAAAACTAGAATTGTTGTAAATGTATATCTAAACTTCTCGTAAAATACGTTCGCTATAGGACTTGATATCTCAAAGTTGACTTTTTTTGTATCCAAAATAATTCGAATAATTAATTATGTATAACTAGGAGATTTATGGGCAAAATTTTGAAGTTTTTTTTTCGAAATATTTTTCTCCAAATACAAACCTTATAACCACATTGTGTGAATTTTTAGCTGCATCAATTTTATTAAACATTTTTTCAATATTGATTTTTATCCCTGATTACACATTCATAGTCTTTTGCAATTTCTGGAAATTTGTTATAATTTGCGATGTTTTTGGGAAAAAGTAGCTGCCAACAACGAAATTCCATGGGTAAGGACTGGTCATAATATTTTTCGTTTTCACACTGTTGCCATTATAATCGGTTGTAATTACCTTTTTAGACCACGCAATCCTCCATTATTTTCCATGAACCTAAATCGATTACAATGCTTTCAGTGGATTATAGTTTGATTATAGTTTTTATGCTAGTTAGGAGGCACTTAAAAGCTTGCAGGTGGTGATGGTGTATGAGGGGTGGTAAATGTGGGAATGTGAGCAGGGGTAAGTGTGAGGGAGGGTTTTGGTAGGTGGAGAAAGCAATTTTGGTGGGGGTAAGTGTGTGGTTTTGGGCGGGAGAGATACTCCAAAAAATAAAACAACAAGAAACAAATCGTAACAAAAACAAGTAAAAACCAATACAACAATCTTTACAAGCCAAGTTTTGAATCTATATTGAAAAGTTTTTGGACTTTCTGCTCAAAAAGTATTTTCCAAGCTCTTCCTCAAAAAACATAATTCATTATAGTTCATTATAATTTATTAAAACTCTTAATAATCGACAATATTGATACGGATTACTTAGACTTATTTATGGATTATTTATACTTGGGGTAGTTTTTGAGTCAATTTTTGATTTTTGACTAAGCATTCGTAAGCTTATAGAGGTTTTAAAATTACTTGTTTGGTCAACTTGGGATAATTAGCGCGCAATCGATTCTGTTTTTATAACACACGTAAGCAGCGAATTTTTGCGTTCCAATCTGAATTTAGGCAAGTCATTTGGTTGTTTTATAAAAGTAAAAAAAAAACTTTTTTTTTTAAATTATTTCGTTAATTTTTTAGCCAAAGACCTTTGAAATTGGCTGTTCAATGCTTTTGTTAATCCAGTTGTTAAGAAACACCGTCTTGTTTTTCCATTATAAGCGATTATTTTAGAGTTTTATTCAGACAGGCCGTGAAAATCCATTTTAATCGGTTGTTCTCCGTGAACTTCATTGCGTGCATCTAAGAACATGAATATTGTAAGTTATTGAAAATTCTCTGAAAATCTTAAGCAGTTGTAGAAAAAAGGGATTTTTTGTGGGATGGTCAACCCGGGTTTTTTCATAATGATCAAACTATATATACTTTTTAAATTTTATCTAATTTTGGTTTACCAAGCAGGCAGCAGACAAACTGGAAACAACTCCGGTGGCAGTCGGATAATTCATATCGTTTTAAGCTGTTACGAGCAGTCTTTTTTATCGCAGATGAGCACAATAAATTGATCGCCATACAAAAAAAAAGCGTATCAAAAAATGACGCAATGGTCCAAACCTATTAAAACGTGCCCCCAAAAACGGCAAGTTTTTCTGCCGTGTTCTTAAAACATTTTCCTGCTATGCAGAACTTGCTGACAAAATAGGGTCCGCAAAGTGTTTTTGAGATTGAGAAACTTAATTCGGTAAACCAAAAAAAGTTTGGCAAGTTGTTCGAGTTCTTGTTTGGAAAAACAACTGCCACCACCATTCAATCGAAAATATTCTAGATCCCGCTTTGCTTGTATAGAATATTTTTAAAACAGTTGCTATTTCATTATCAGAAAAATTGGTGTATGAGCATACGAGCAAATGTTTTGGTTCATGGCAAAATTGCATTATTTTTTAATTGTCAAAATTTTCTGAAAGTTTCGTTGGACTTTTTTGAAGTTATGCTGGTCGAAAGAATGAATTAAACTATTTTGAGACATTGGATACCTATGAAACTTTCGTAATTACAGTTCTGCTCGTATATCAGGACAAAACCTTGAATGATTCGTTCGCGCAATAATTTGTTTCCAGCAGATTTGATAAAAAACACTTTGATAAACTGAAAATGTTGGACTGTCAATATCAATTGTTCATGCTTGAGTCGTATAAACCAATTAGGTTGCTTGGTTTCAATTCGGAATGTTTTTGCATGCGGGATAATAGTTCGTGCTCTGCTTTTAGCATAATAAATGAGATTTTTAATAAGTTATGAACAAGAATCAAAAGCGCATTCAGGAGAACGCGTACGTAGCACGTCTGCTCGTAAACCCACTTGGAATCCCACTCTGAATTTTTTCCAGATATTGGTCTGCATTTAAAAGAAAACAACCCAAGCAACTTAACTCCCAATTTTACTCAAAAGATTATGATTCTGGAGACCAGAAAAATGTTGATTTGATCAGCCTATTAACAACCAACTTGCGGTTAGACATTAGGGATTACCCTTAGAAAGGCCAATATTTCAAATATTGATCTTTTGCGGTTCGCAGAATTTCAATTTTTCTTTTTTAAAAACATTTCTCACAATAATTTTCAACAATTAGCGAATTTTTCTGAGCGAAATTGAATTTTTGAGGCCTGTAAAGACCCTATGTTGATTAAAAATTTTGCATCGCCGGCAAATTTTTGAAAAAAGTTTTTGGGCACTTTTTGGAAAATGTTGACCAAAAAATGTTGTTGTTTCTGCACGCGCTCGCCTTCAAAATTAGTATATATTAGCGCCAAAAGCGTCTGTAGAAAAGTTTTAAAGTTGGTCGGCCTAAAATGGATGTCATAAAAATAATACCGCCTCTGATTCTAACCATTTTGAAAATGACGATTCATTTCACACTCAAAAATCAACCCCACTCAAGAGAACGGCAAAAAATTGAAAAGGAAAAATTTCAAAATTTGTTTGTGACATGCTATGCTGTTGACTGTTCTCTTTTCTTAGACAATCGGTATTTTTTTGTAACTTTTGTCCTAATTTATTGTTTTCTGACAAACCTTAGAGGCCATTTTTTTGAGATCATTATCTATTAATTGGTGCTCTTTTTGGTGATTTGATTACCAATCATCTGTTGCTCAAGTTTGCTTAGGTAATTTATTTGGATTCGAAAGAGCAGAAACTAAAAGCCTTCTTCTTCGAAGTGTGGATTTGGAAGGACGAATACTTAACGTGGGACCCCGATGACTTCGGAAACATCAGTAAAATAACACTGATGCGTGAAAACTTATGGCTTCCTGACATTGTTGTGTTCAACCAAGTTGGCGAGAACTCGAATTATTACATGCGTGAAAACATTATTCCCGCGACTGTCAAAAGCACGGGCGAAATAAGACTGGACACGCCTCAAAAGTACGAGACGACTTGTTTGATTGAGATCGAGAACTTCCCATTCGACGTGCAAACGTGTGTCATAGTTGTCGGCTCGTGGAGTCAGTCGGCGGCTACAATTCTTATGAAGAATTTGTCGACAAACATGGACAGCACTTCGTATATAGACAATTCGGAGTGGGAATTAATGAGTACGAGTTGTGTGTCTAAAATACTCCAGTACGAAGGTTCCGACCAACAGTACTCGGAGATCCATTACACTATTGTGCTAAAGCGACGACTTGCCTTCTACAATCGGAACCTGATCATCCCTATGATTCTTATCAGCTTTATGGCTCAGTTAGGTGAGGAGCGGTCGTCTTACTTTTTACTAAGAAAAATTAGATAGCAATTTTTTGTTTTTGTTCCAACCACTAAGTGGAGAGGATTTTGTATTTAAGGTGTTTTTTCTTGCAAAATCATTTTTTACAACAAATTATGAATTTGAGCCGAGTGATATATAATATTGAATCCCTAAATTGATATGTTATAAAGTTTTCCAAAAACTTTTTGTCCGTCTCGCAAAAACCCCGGGCTAAATTTTTTGCTTTGTAGGATTGATTTTTGATTTTTTTTCGCAAAACTATTTGTCGTCGGAACCTTCTGTGATACTTGCCCAGCTGCCGACAAGTCTTATTTTATTTAGTAGGCCTTTTGTTTTCCCTCTGCTTCATGGCAAAGTTGTTTTTTTTGTTCAGTATTTCTTCTGCCGCCGGAGAGTGGTGAGAAAATTTCCCTGGCAATCACTGTGTTCCTGGCACTCTCCCTCAACATGCTGGTCATCTCAGAATACATCCCCGCCAACTCGCTCCAGACGCCCATAGCCAGCAAATACTGTCTCTTCTCCATGTTTCTAGTCTGTCTCTCCCTCTGGCTTTCTGTGCTTGTGCTCAACTTACAGGGTGAGTTAATTTTGAGTCCATTCCTATATTTCATATCACCCAAAGTACAATTTTTTGATTCGAGTCTTGGGGAGGGGGTAAGGGGTTGAGGTGTTTTTTTTACAGGTTGAAAGATTAAATTGCTTTTCCCGACTAGCCTCCTTCAACTTTTGCTGTTTTGGGTTTGACCAAATGTAGTGTAGGAGTTCAGTCGCCCAAAAAGTCCTTAAACTTATAAGGATGCTTTAAAATCAATGGATGCCTTAAAAACTGGTTGCTTTAAAAGATGTTACCATTTGATTGAAGAAGACGACAATTTCCCATTGGTTGAGTGTGCCCGTGATTATGCATTATAAAAGCTAGGTTAATCAGGCTCACTTTGTTGGTTCCTAAAAGTAATTTTAACCTTAATGTTCTGAAATCAGATAGAAAAATGTTTAATTTGAGGCGAGCCATCCTTATAAAATTTTTAAAGTATCATCGGATTCAGATAACTAATTTGCTTCTTTCCATCGGGTGTCATTAATCGAACATCAATAAAAGTTACATAGGGGCAAGTCCATTCAATTATGTAAAGTCTTTGGCTCTGTCTGCAGACCTACCAGCTGACTTTGTGACCTCTATCTCGTCAGGTGCACACTGAAACAAGGAGTGCACTAAGCTTGAAATATTTGAATGATACAGTTAGCTTACAACTTGAACATATTACTTTCCGTGTTTTTCACATATAAATCAAGGCGCGGCCAGCAGAAAAGAAGGTGGGAAGAAAGAACCCACTGAATATTGTGTTGTTTTGGGACGCACGAAAGCCGAAGCCGCCCGCATACTGGGAAGGTTGGATAAGCAAAAATCAAAATTGGGTAATGATTGCTAAGTATGATATTGATCCAGACGGTTTCTACTTTGATGATACTCTGGACGCGACGGCGACGGCGGTAGCGCTGTTGACAGCAGAAGTGAACGGAAAAAATCCTATTGAATCGGAGGGGAATTTCAAGTTGAACTTGTATCTTTGTATAGAAAACGAAGGCAACGAATTTTCAAGGCGCGCAAACCGGGGGTAAGTGTAAGAACCGTAAGAACTCGACAAAATTAAAAAAATATTTTAAAGCGAGAGCCGACTGTGACGCATGAACGAGGATTGTTTTATGGCAGAAAGCAACGGGAGCACGATTCCTTTGAGAAGTTCCACGCCGAACTAAGCGCATTGGCGGGACGATGCGACTTCACTGATGCCGTTGAAGTCTGAAAACATCAGAGATTTTTTAAATATGTATTTGCCAGAATCGAATTTTCAGCAAGCAATATCATGATCAAAAAATTCACCCGAAGAAGTATGTCGGACTGATTGTCATATGAGAGGAGAGAGCGTGCCTACAAGTCAAACTCGGTGAAGCCGCCAGCATCAGAGACACACATGACCATTAAGCCGGAACCCGTAAACAATATCAGGAGAAGAGCCAGATAATTCCGAAACCGGGAGCGCGGAGATAGAGGAAACACAACGCGGTCGATTACAGCAGGAAACCAGAAATGTGACAATTATGACGTCCCAAACTCTTCATTGGAACATATTGCGTATCATCTCGCGAGAAGCGTAACATGTAACGCGTGCCATAAAACAGAACACGGAAGGAAGGGGTCGAGTAGGTGTGGTCCGTGACGAGAACCAGGCAAAACCAAAGCACCCACAGTATCGGTAGCAACAGCATGCAGGAGGAGCAATTAGGGTGGGTCAACCATCATCAAGAGGTGGATGAGGAGATTTCCACAACATCAGGGTCTGATGAGTATATAGTGAAGTCTATCATGAAAAAGAATGCAGTGGGTTTGAAGATCCCAAACGCCAGAATATAAGCGAAAGTATCAAGAAAGAAGCTGAGTTTCTGATTTGACAGCGGGTGCCTGGTCACGGTATTCAACATGACTGGCCTGAAAGCTAAACTCATTAAAACCAACTTAAAGCTACAACCGAAACTAGTAGATTTTTAGATTTAAACAACAAAAGAAACCAAGTCTTAGGAGAAGCAGCCGTGACAATTGCATTGAATGGATGGGTGACACAAGCAAAAGTGTCTAAAATAGTGCGGAACCACCAGTCGATCCTGGAGCGGAACCTATTGAGTACCCTGGGACTGGAGTTGGTACAGAAGGGAAGAGGAATGGGATTCACAGGGGAAGTAAGCAGTGACGAGAACAATGAACTAGAACAAGTGCAGATGGACTAGAACAATGACAGACAAAATTTTGTTTCCTAAACTATTTTCAAGAATAGGAAAAAGCCCGAACGCAAATTTAAAGGCTGAGTGTTTCGAATCCTTAAAACCTATAAGACAAAAGGGCACAGAGATCCTATCAGCCTTCAGGAAAAAGCACAGGGAAAAAACCCGCTTAATTGCGGAAGGTTGTGTGGTTAAATCACAACAATGTTCGCTTAAGAGTTTTGTTTCACCGCTTGTATTTACAGTAAAAGAGAACGAAAATATGAAGCTGCCATAGGAATAAAGGGAGTTACAAAAACAGGTATATAAGAGTTAGTACCAAATGCCAAACTTTGATTAAATATTTGTCGGAATCAACAAAATAAATGCGGAACGAAAGGCGGGTGAAGTATACTCCACTATATTGGAATTCACATATGCGTAGGGACAAGTAGCATTACACCAGAAAACAAGCAAACAGTGCAAGTTTTCATTTATGGGGGGAAAATCGACGGGAACGTGCCGTTTTAAGAACGGTTTCCACTGACTTACAACAATGCCTGCAAGACTTGAAAAAGTTATTGACACCTTGCTAAAGGAGTTTGCACAGGCAAACGCATTCAGTAATGACATTTCAATCGTATTAAAAGGAAGAAAACACTTTGTAGTAGTAGAAAAATTACTTATGAAACTGGATGTCGACAACGCCACCCTGAAACCACGGAAATGCGAGTTTGCAAAAAACGAATACAAATGGCTGAGATTCAAGACCGGTAAAACGGAATAACGCCGTTTATTAGAAAAACACTGGCTATCGAAGATTTAAAGTTTCCCAAGCCCAGAAAACAATTGAAATTATGCATGGGATTGTTGCATAACCTTCATAAATTTTTACCAAAATTTGCAGATGTTCGCCTAAATAATGATTTTACCTGAACGCAGGTATGTTATAATGCCTTTCAGCGTTTAGTAGAAAACACCGTCGAGCTTGTGGTTGTCCTCATGACATAGGTTCAAGTCTATTCAACTATATTAAGTCTTTGGTTCTGCCTGGAGACCTGCCAGCAGACCTTGTAACCTCTACCTCGTCTGGAGCACACTGAAACATTGAGTGCAGTAAACTTGAAGGATTTGAATGATACAGTTAACTTACACCTTGCACATGTTACGTTCCGTGTTTTTCACATTTAAACCAAGGCGCGAACATCAGAAAAGAAGGTGGGAAGGAAGAACCCACTGAATGTTGTGTTGTTTTGGGACTCACGAAAGCCGAAGTATGCGGGCACTGGGAAGGGTGGATAATCAAAATTCAAAATTGGGTAATGATTGCTAAGTATGATATTGATCCAGACGGCTTCTACTTTGATGATACTCTGGACGCGACGGCGACGGCGGTAGCGCTGTTGCCAGCAGAAGTGAACGGAAAAAAATTGAACATATTACCTTCCGTGTTTTTCACATCTACATCACAAGGACCATATCGAGAGCAATATATCAATGTGCAGATGGTATCTCCGCTTAGCCTTCTGCTTCATAGATCTCCTAAACCAGAAATCGGAACTAATTTAATTCCTCATCTAGACATGTCCCCCGAGTAAAGTGAAGGTCTTCGATCGCCCCCGGCTGAAATCTTTTCAACTTGATTCAATTTAACCCACGGCACACTGAATTCTGTCTCCTGCAACGAATGGAAAAAAGGATTGTTTTGTTTATAACTTTCCCGCTATTTTAATCATACTCAATTCCCATTCAAGTTATCCAAATATTCCAAAATACACCTTGTCAAATTTTGACTTTAGTAGGGCGAACTTTTCTTTTGTTGAATTTTGTCGACTACTTTTTTCCATGTTGCATTTTTACCAGAGCAAATGGCCAAGTTACTCGGTTGGATTGAATACAAAAAAACTCCACCGAATCAACCTTCTAATTGAGAGGCTGAAATTTTAAGTCCAGATTTCACTGCTGATAAAACATAAAAGTGAACTTTAGTTTGAATATTTCCGATTGATAAAGATCAAAGAAAAAAGGGAAATTCTGTTTCTAAGCTGAACTTGTTCTGATAAAAGGACAATTCAATTTTGCTGCTTTGTCTGATAAAAACAAGTCTCAAAGATCAAAGACATACAATACAGTCAACGAATCATACAGCCATGATGAGCTTGAATGATAATGCCATTGTTTGACGGCTGAATGGTCAAATTCTTATCCATTATGGACTTGAAAACTATTGTTAGGTGCCGAAATAAGACATCAGTTTTTAGCTGACCAGTGCTTGGAAACAATTTTAAAGTCCCCAAAGGCGCCATGGTACATTTACATTAGGGAAGAACGAGCTAGAGAAATCACATTATCATGAGGCGAAGTAATTGTTCCGACGTTTAACAATAAGATATTTGCTTCAGACAAAATTTCATTTCAATCCAATTATTTTTATTTTTTTTACGCCTGCCATGAGCTCAAATTCAAAAAGATATTTTACTTATTATGTTTTTGGGGAGTTGAAAATTATGGGGTTTTGAAAATTGCCAATAGGATGAATTTTGGATACATTTGTTTTATTAATATAAATTAGAGAGTTAATCCCGCTCAGAAATTGTTTGAAAAGACTTGAAGCAAGCTTTTTGGACTAATCAATTCAATGTTAGGTAGTTACATCGCTTTGTATTTTACATATCGTGGGGGGGGGGTAAGAATTTCAAAAAATGAAGATTGATTTAAAATTTAAATGTTTTTGAATTAAATACAAGATTTTATCGAAAACTGAACTCAAAGTGGCGAACGAACATGAAATGAAGACTTTCGCCCTTATACGAGCAGTGTCGTTTTGTTTTGAGTAATTTCTTTGCAATGTAGGTTACCAAAAAAAATCAGGTTTTTAATGGCAATTTATATAATGATTGTGGCCTTCGTGCATTGCAGAACTCAACAAATTGATCAAAATAAGCGTTTTTCTGAGTAGTTTTGCTAAAAGCCAGGTGTGAATCGTTTGCTTAAAAAATATCGTTTATTTAATTTTTTCAAGGAAAAATAACAGCGGTGCTACAAATCGCTTGCATTTCTGTAATCTGAGTTAATACGACGTTTTTAAAAGTTTTTAAAATTTAATCATTTATATAATATATTAGCGGCGAAGTTATATCTAAATACAAAATATGCGCCATGGCGTTTTGGAGCACAATCTGAAGTCTTTTTAGTTTCCGCGGTTAATTCAAAATTAATTTATATTCAAATAATTCAGCTTCGATGGTATTGATGGCATTGAGAAAAAAAAGATTAGGGATGTAATTGATATTAATCGTTTCAAATTTTTCCTGACATTTTAGTCTTCCAATCTTTGATTTCATTATTTTTTATCTGGTCAAGATTCCGGTAAGAACTTTTGCGTAAAAAAGACAAAAAAAATGCTGGTAGAAAAAAAGAATCCTTGAAAGTTCCGCTGAATTTTTAATAAATTATGCTGAATCCTATTCTTAAGTTTTTTCAGAAAAATTTTTTGATCTTTAAAAATGCTTCCACATATTAGAAGCTTAGATCACCTTCATTGATTAATGAACATATGAATATATACAAAAACTTTTCTTGCTCTATGGCAGCATTAAAGAATTTTCAGGGAGGCGGCGCAGAAAAAAAACGTAATTTTTTGGTAGGAATTTTCCAACGCATTTTTGGCCCGTTTTTCCTAGATCCACCCCTATCCCAGAAAAATATTCCATATGGATTAAGAGGCAGGCGGGACAATCAGGGCTTTGCCCTGATATACGAACAGTCTTGTTACTTTAAAATGCGCGATAAATCACTCTGTACTCTACATAGCGTATGGGGTTTTATTTTCAAAAAACCTCAAAGTTACAAACTAAAAATGAGTTTTTTTTTTTAAATTTTTCTTTATCTCAATAATTTTCTGCCCTGATATAAGAACAGTCTTGCTACTTTAAAATGCGCGATAAATCACTCTGTACTCTACATAGCGTATGGGGTTTTATTTTCAAAAAACCTCAAAGTATCAAACTAAAAATGAGTTTTTTTTAAAATTTTACTTTATCTCAGTAATTTTCTAGATCGCGCAGACTTCTCCAGAGACCTTAAAAAGCAGTCGCAACATTCAATTATTGCTTTGATGCGAGCAGTTTTGTTCGAATATGAAAATTAAACTTGGGATGGAAAGTGGAAAAAAGTCCATTACTACTTTCTTTTTACAACATCCGTTCAAAATCAATTTTTGAAAATATTTTGTTTGAAATTTGTCGTGTTCGATTTTTTAAAATGCGACAAATTTTGGCCTAAGACTGGAAAAATTTATGTTGAAACCAACCAGGGGCGGATTTAGGGGGGGGGGTGCGGAAGCCCCCCCCCCCCCCCCCCCTCCTCCTCAGGGACTCGACCCAAAGGGTTCCCCCTTTGGTACTTTTTAAGAAATGCTTTTCTGGCCGACCGACCCTAAAATTATTCTACAGGCGCCTTTGGCGCCAATATATACTTACTAATTTTGAGGAGGGGGCGCAGAAAAAACGCGATTTTTTGGTCAACATTTTCCAAAAAGTGCCTAAAAACGCCTTTTTCTGACTATTTTTTCAAAATTTTGCCTGCGGCGCAGAAAATTTGGCCAAAACAGGGACTAACCCAGGCTTAGAGAGAGCTGGAAAAATCATTCCGGTCGACCTAAAAAAAATTTAAACCCCCCCCCCCCCCCTCGAGAAAATCCTAGATCCACCCCTGACACCAACAATAATTTAGCGAGTCAATTGTCAAATAAATAAAACAATAGATCGAGTCAAATTTTTTTTTTTAGATATTCTGCGGATACTTCCGACATGCTCACTTTATGATTAATTCTGTTTTTAAGGATCCGAAAGTGCCTCATATCTATATGCTAACAAACCTTCCCGGAGAGTAATGCGAATCATTCGCTTCATCGGACCCTGGCTCTTAGTCGGCGGAGGGCCAAAACAGAGAGCGCACAACTTCCATCTTCGTTACCCACGCAACGCTCGGAACAATCCTCCGAGCTCGTGTATCAACAACAAGTACTCTGACTATCAGGATATCTCGCAAGTGTTCATTCCCAAAAACGTGAACAAGAGTTTTGAGAGTCACACAGGCGAACATGTGTGTAATCACGTGATCAGAGACGATGACCCGATAATTGAATTGAATCACGTGCATTGCTCCAGAAACCGAGTTGGTTCTCGGCTTGCCAGCAGTAATTTCACGCAAAACTGCATCACTAACTGCAATAATGTTACAAACAACAACCACACACACCATCGAAACACAGTATATTACAACGTGATTGATAGTGAACATGAATCCAGCTCGATTCCCGGTCCGGTTACATGTTCGAATCCCGGACCGATCCCGGGTCCAAACTCCAAATGCGAAGCCATGCCGAAACACTCGCCAAATCACCGCCCCGCCCTGAACTGTGCTTCCAACAGCACTTGTACCTGCAATTATCAGAATAATCACCACCAACAACATCATTTGCTCCCGGAATCTGCTTCCACTTTTGAGAACATTCTAGATTCGTTTGTGACGCGCCTGGAAATGATTCACACTTCACCATTGGATAAAAGTGAAATATCTGAAAACACGAAAGAAATGTTGGAGCAATGGGGCTATTTAGCCCGCGTTGTTGACAGGTTTTTTGCAGTTGTTTACTTTGTAGTCAATGTCATCTGTTTATTGCCATTCATACCTTATTATGCAGGTTGGGATGAAAACTTTTGATGATTTCGTACCACTGAATTACTTTAGTGTAGTTTTTGTTATCACAACTTAACTTAAAATAAATTGTTTTCACGTAAGATAAGAACCCCTCCCCCTAGATAATGAACAAAGAACCCCTTACCCTCCCTATCTCTAACACACAGACACACATGATCCAAGTAAACTAACTCTCTCCCCCACCCCCCGCCCCCACCCCAAAAAATGAAAGACTATTTCCTTAATTACCAAGCAAACTTTCCCCTTCTAAATCAATTTTGAGTGGAAATTGAACCAATGTTACCAGGAAACAATAAATGACAGGTCAAAACAAAGCACAGTTAAACAAGGTACTCTGCATTGAAAAATATTGGAGGTTTCAAGCAATCTTGATCTCGAAAAGCTGCCTTAAATAAAAGAAGGTCTACGTCTGTGCTCAACTGGACTGAAAAAAAAACTTTGTTTCAATCAAACTGAAAAAAAAAAATTTTCAAGTGACTGTTTGATCGTTGTCTGTTTTTTTTTCACAAGTAACAACTTGCCTAACATTACCAGTGCGTCTGTCTCATTTCAACTCTGTGTTTTTTCTATTATAGCTGCCATCTTCCCAAATTAAGTAAAATTCATCGCAAACCACACAGCGACAGAAATAAATACTTAACCAAAGGCAATATGGAAGAGAGGGTAAGAGCGCAGAATTGAAATGATAGGAGCTTGTAGACCAGGTTAGCACTAAAATTAAGCAACTGATATCAGAAGCACTTCACATCTGGAAAAAGAATCCGATGGGAATTACGCGTGATAAAATCAAGAGCAGGGAGCTGACCCTTAACTTGTGTTTCAAATTTCGAAGTTTTACCTGAAATCAAAACGAAAATTTGTAATCAACCCATTTTAACATGTTCTACAAACAAAAAAATGAGACACACCGACAGTTAATGATAGAAACAAAGAGTTTTATCAAATTGTTTTACAAATTTTTGAAAAACCAAAGTGGGGTTCCGAAATTTTTTTTAAATAACAGTGTGAATTTTGAATTTTCAAAATTAAGATGGGTTGATTTGACCAAACTTTTAATTTTCAAATTTTTCAAACTGTTAAAATCTTTTTCTATCAAGTCTGTACTTCGTTCAAATCCGATTGAACCATTCGACCTGAATGATTGGCATAGAAAATGTATGATTTGTCAGAAAGAAATTCAGAAAGTTAATTGGCAGCAGATCAAAAAAATAAGGTGGGAAGAACTGACGGTTTTTTCGAACTCTTTTTAAGAGATAAACACTATAAAATTTACTTTTGGGATATTTAAAACTGCGGGAAATTCTTAAACTCTCTCGTACAGAAACGAAACGGACAGAAACACGACAATAAAACTACTGGAAACGCTACGAAATTGGAGACCAGGAGCTTTGCAAAAATACGAGCTTCCCAGATTTAAAATTTTTTTAAAATTCTGGACTGGGAAGGCTGAAAACCCTTTGCGGTACTTTCTTCAGTTGTTAAGAAGCGGTTTTTTCAACGGATATCCCAGATCAGGAACAGTTTACCGTTAAACTTTGCTTAGACTTATAGCTCTTCGATAAGGTCATGATTTTTTCACATCTTCCTTAATTTTTGTTTTCAAAATGAGAGGATCGAGGAGCTTGTAAAAGATCGACCCATCTTGTTTGGATATCACATATCTCTACTATGTTCAAACTCATTGTTTATTGTTGCTGCGACATTGAAAACGGGAAGGAACTTTGCAATTGCGTGTGTTTCATCTTGTTTTGATTTCCGCGCAAATCAGGTGTCACAACTTATTATCGGACTGGGTTGAGTGATATACTTTTTTGATTCGAACGAGCTTAAAATTTTCCCAAAAAATTTACCCGGTGTTGAGAAAGACTGGTTCGAATTTTTGATTTTTCATCAAACTTCGAGTGAGTAAAGCAAGCGATGAAGCTTATATTTGCTTTTTATCCTTATTTTGAGCGCTTCAATTTCAGTTTTATTAAAATAACGTTTTCTTTCAGAGTTTTTAGTGCTATTTCAGAATCTCCTATAGTTTTTAAAAAGAATTGTTGAAATGATTTTTTTGTTAATTTTTATTTTAGCTTCCTTGTTTTACTGTCCCTGACCAACGGCTTGAAGATTAGCGGCCGATCGGTATGAGATGTTTCAAATAAAAGCTAAGATTGCACGCTTATTGGTTAATCGCAGTATCCCCAGATCACACGTCACTAATAAAAAACAGGGCTGTACGCCAATACATCATCACCACAAGTTTTGGTTTAATGGTTTAATGATCAAATTTTTCTCCGAACCAAGCTTCTTATATTCCAAAGTTATCAACAAAGAGGGTTTGTTTTATTTACGGTAACAACCAATGAGCTGAAAACTTAAGTAATTTAAAATGCAGTCTGCAGTCAAACCTTTCTGAAGAAGCTGCGTGCAACGGCATCGTGAATGAATTTTGAGGGTTTGACTGCCTTCCCAATCGTTTCAAATGACTAAATAAGCAAAATTGACTAATATAGTAGCCAAAAAATTCAATTACGGTTGAGCAATGTCGTGGTATCATTAGCGTGGTCTCAATAATGTTCACGTTTTATTTCCAATCAAAAATGTTTGGTTTTCAATTTGCTGTCCTAATGACATTTTGCACAAAACTTAGACTTCTAAAACTCACACACCAACCTGGCCAATTGCAACAAAACATATAGCCCCCACCAATAAACTGGTTTTATTTCATTTTTTGGAGCGCACTCGAAGGTGATGGTGAGACGTCATTTTGAAAAAAAGTTCATTAAAATAGCCAAATTTCACACTTTAGAGCTGTAGTTTCAGTGTCAGCGCCCTGACTCTAAGTTCATCGAGCGGGTTGAAAACCCAGAGCGCTTCAAATCTTCTAATGGCATTTTGTTTTTCGTAGATAACGGTTAAGCTCATCGTGGCAAAAGTTACAGTAAACAGTGACACAAAAACTTTCTAACATGGATATAGAAGTGGCTAGAAATATCATAAGAGCAACGGAAAAGTAGCAGTGCCTTTTAACCTTGCACAGTCAACGTTCAGAGAATTTTTAGACTCGGGTTGCGAATCGAGCCCGCAAATAGTTAATTGGAGAGATAAACCCCGTTGACAATGATGATGAACAACGGTACAAAACCAGCAGTAAAGACGTACCAGCCATTCTGACTATCCAGAATCGAAGTGACCACAGTCAAGCTATTACAAATCTGATTATTATACTTACGACGCAGGATTTGTGTGACATTACTAATTTCCAGTTTTCCAGTTTTTCGAGCGAGACGAAATCCAAAATGGAGTAAAGTTAGAATAGAGTCGATTAGAAGCCTACGTCGGCAAAACAGTTAAACATCTCATCACTAGGGTTGAGGAGAACTGAAATTCGGCTACTTCAATCAAGCATTATCTAACACGGTGAATTGGCATTTTTATGAGCTCGGAGTTGAGTTGGAGGATCGCTGAACTTTTTTTAAAATAAAAGGTTGTTAACCTCAGAAGGGCTGCATATCAAGAAGAATCCAGGAATCAACACGCTTGACGAGTTTAGAAGCAAAGAGCTGATAGCGAACCCATAATTCAATAATGAAAAACATCTTTTTATAAAATCTACTTTTATCAATAAATTCACAAAAAAAACCATATCTAGACCTTAATAACAAAAATGAAGAAAAATTCAAAACAACGCGTGCTGGAAATTTCTAACACGTTTTGATTGTTAATAGAAACATATAAAACGGATTAATTCTGATTGATGCATTGAGAAACGTGCGTCAGATTTTTGATATGTGATCAATCTGTACATCAATGCTATGTTTTTAGGCGTGTGAGACATATCACCCCATGCTTTTTGAAAACTTTCAATAATTTGATTTAAAGAAAATTTTTTTAAAGTACTTTCGGTGGCAAGGTTTTTTTTGTCTTGAAATTTGACTTTTTTCATTCAAACTAGCTTTCCCTCAGTCCAGCCAACGATCTATTAAGAAACGAATCTTTCACTCCACGCAACCATTTTCATCAAGCTATTCAAAGATCTAGCCATTCATATACTGATACAACCAGCTATCCACTTATCCAATCATACATTTTATTTGTCATCAACCAATCCATTAATCTATCCGTCCATCCTGCCTTTGAGCCAATTTATCATAATTTGGCCCATCTATCTTGCCATCCAGTTATCCAACAAATCATCACCATTCATTTATCTAGTCATTCATCAGGCCATTCATTTATCAGGCCATTCATTTATCTATTCATCTATCAAACCATCCAACCAGCCGTTTTTTCAACTAATCACTAAACAAATCAATCGGCTCTTCCATCTAGCCTGGCATCAATCAATCTAACTCTCAGTCCTGCTATCAATCCATATCTATCCAGCCAGCTATCAATTAATTCATCAACCAAGCAATCCATACATCTAGACATTCGTTCAACCAACATACCAGCCAACCAGCGATCTCTTTCCAACCAATTATCCTTTCAATCAGTTTTCCATTCCAAGCAACCAGCCTTTTAACAAGCTATACATTCATCCAACCAGCTCTCGAGCAATTAAATTGTCAAAATAGCGAACCTGCATACCATCTAACAGCCGATTTTTTATCGATGTAGCCCTTCAGCCTTTCAGCTATCCATATTTCCACTAGCCAACCAAGCAGTTTCATCATCAATATCGCGATCCTTCCAAGTAGCCATCTCTGCAGCGAGCAAGCCATTTAGCGGCCTATGCCTTCGCTCATTCGGCCTTCCATCAACCTAGTTTTCTAGCCAGTTATCTTTTAAGACATCCGGCCATCTATCATCTCAATAATTCATCCATTATCCAACCATTCATCCATCAAACCATCCCTAGATCCAGTCATCCTTCGAACCAGGTGTCACTTACGCCAATAGTCCCTACATCTAACTAATCAGATGTCTAACTAACCATATAAACTGCCACCCAAGAATCTATACTTCTAACCATCTATCCATTCATAAATCCATCCAGTCATCCTTACTATGAACTAACGATCCATCCATCCAACTATTTTTCTGATGAAA